AAAAAAAAAAAAAAAAAAAAAAAAAAAAAAGGAAATTATAAAATTTGATGACTCACTTGGGAGATCAGTTGTCGATTCCTATTTTGCTTAAGTTTTATGAGATTTTTGTTTTTCTGTTTACTCCTCTTCCTTCCATCTCCTGCCTTTTTGACCCTCCAATCCCTCAACTTCTATCACTTCTTCTTTTCTTCCTTCTCAATTTTTATCAGAATCATAATTTTCTGTCTTTTTATTTTATTTTTCTTAGACATTTCATTTTCACAGCGCAACATCAAACTGATAAAGACTAGTATTTGCATATGAATACATGCACTTACAAGTTTCCTTTTTTATTAATATATTAACTACGACAGTTATTTCCTACTTTGAAAATCTGACAAACTTAACAAATAGAATCTGCACTGATATGCTTAGTGAACAGATTAGTTCCTTGTTACTTACATCAAAGATATGATAATTGTAGGCAGAAGAGCAATTTTTATACAGCAGTAACATTTGGTAAATTTTGAAGACAGAAAGTAGTGGTTAAAGTTAAAGATTTTTTTTTCTGTTATTTGACCATCACGGAATTTGAAAATATGCTCTTCTTATTAAGTAATCTGCGCCATGAAATACCATATAATTTAAATAACTTTTTTTGCCAAGACTGTCTTTCATAGTTGTCTTTTTTTTTTTGTTTTATGCTATCTATCGACAGTTTTAAATACGGAAAAGTTGTGGGAAAAAAAACTGATTAGTTTTTTTTCTTGATGAAAACTCTCTGTCATTGTAGAGGTTGTTTTAATTTTGATTTATTATTTCAGCAATAGTCACCAATTTTTCTGAAGCTATATCGTCCAATAAACCTGAAAAGAATAGTAGCTTTTTTTTTGCTTAGCTAAAATTAAGTTTTGCTCTGGTAAAGATGCTTTGGCAGACAAATTATAGCAGACAGTGACAGTAATAATTACGGTTTCAGTATATATTTCGGTTTATTGCTTACCAATTAATAAATAAAAGTGCCTTATGATCACTGACTGATTACAATTTTTTCTTCTTTTTCAATAATAAGTAACAACTTTAATTTTTATA